CCGCTGACCTGCTGATCTAGCAGTAGCCTGCAGTGCTGCATTTAACCACTGCGCCACCTTGGCTCTGGCTGCTCAAGAACAAGCACGACAAACTAAGGCCACGAAAGCGAAGATACAAAAATCCACTCACAATCCAAACTGCCGACTTTGCCACAACAAAGTCGAAACCGTTTCACATTTAATGTGTGAATGCAGCAAAATCGCACAAACTGATTACAAAGCTAGACACGACCGAGTTGCTAAATTAATCCACTGGTCATTATGTAAAAAGTACGACTTAAACTGTATCCAAAAAGTCATGGGAGCACAAAGTGGAAAAAGTTACCGAAAATGAGAAGGTGAAGATCTCATGGGGCTTTCGAATACAAACGGATCGTCATTTGGAGCACAACACGCCAGACATCACAGTTGTAGAGGGCCGAAGCGTACACAATTTATTGATATCGCTGTTCCTGGAAATGCCAGAATCAAAGAAAAAGAACTGGAAAAAATCATGAAAGACTGCGATCTGGCCATCGAAACTACCCGATTATGGATGAAACATGTAACCGTGATACCCATTGTCATCGGGGCACTTGGTACCACATCCAAGAATTTTACAAAAAATTATGTAAACATTTTTACATCCAGAAATTGTAGCTTCCTGCAATAACACCAGCGGAACTGCAAAAAACCGCTGCTCGGAACATTGTATATTTTAAGGAGGTCCTTGGGTGATATACCTGGGACTCTGGCAGCAAACTGTATCAACCATTAACACCAGTCAATGGTATTTGTGACACACCTTTAAATGTTCAGCTGTCTGACTTTTGTGTTTCATGAATAAAAGAGGTAATAATAATAATTCCGTTGACTGAGTTTCATGTTTAAGGAATAAACTATATAATAATAATAATAAAAATATGTGGACTGCATTTGTTAAATTAATTAATGATTATTATTTATTATTAAAAAGAATGATGAACACACATACTGTTCTCCGTTAATTTTCTCTGCAATCCCATTTGTGGGGACAGAGAGAGAGAGACATCCATTCTCCACTGTCCGTCCATCCCCCCCCAAAAAAGTCAGATCCTTGATCTCCCTTTCCTCTCTCTCTGACAGATATAGACGAGTGCCAGGAGCTGCCAGGCCTTTGCCAAGGTGGCAATTGTGTCAACACCTTTGGGAGTTTCCAGTGTGAGTGTCCCCCGGGCTATTACCTGAATGAGGACACCCGTATTTGCGAAGGTGAGTCTGTGGGGAAAGGGGTGTATGTACCCATTGCAGTCTGCGGACTCTCCCGACGCTTAGAATAGGGTCTCCTAGCCGTGATCCCTTTAAGACAGATGGACTTCAACTCCCAGAATTCCCCAGCCCCCTGTTTACTGTTGTGGCCCAGCAGGAGCCGTTGGAGCTGCCACCAGACTCCGACAGCGAGGGGCCCTATGATTCGGCTCTGGAGGATGTGGAGGACCCTGGGCAGGGTTCCGACTCCAAGCAGGGTGCAGAGAGGCTGGTTGGCTACCAGGTGGTGCCTGAGCCTTGGACCAGCGGGGAGGAGACAAGGGAGAGTGATCCTGACGTCATGCACTGGAGCAGTGGGGAGGAGACAAGGGAGTTGTTCTTGGATGCCTGACACCGGAAAGCTAANGGGCTCAAGCCATGTGGCCCTGTCCAACAATAAACCATCTTTCCAAGCAGCCTCCATGTCTCCAGTGTGTTCTTCCCCACTTGGAGCTGAACCCAGAAGGACATTTCTTTCAACAGTAGCATAAAGAAGTTGAGGAACAACCTTGCCTAAGAGAATCTTACAGGCTACAGGGATACAATGAGCCCCCTTTTAAATGAAAAGATATCATAATAGATGTCGAGTTACATTGATCAGCACCTGCCTAATAGGAAAGAAGTGCCCTACAAGATGAAGAGGTCTGGAACAGCACACCAGGGCTGCACAGTTGAAGTGCTATTAATTGATCACTTCTGAAAATTACCATAGTATTGAATAAATAACTAGAACTTTGTTTTTTCTATGACATTTAATTAATAGTCTTTCTTTTAAACCAAAAAGGCCAAAGACCTTCTCATTTCTAGTTGGGAAATGGACATAATAATTACACTAACTGCATGTAAAGTGTCTTATTATTGAATTTGTATAGAAATTAAAAATTAAGGAAGCCATTACAAAGTTGAAACAGCTTCAGAAAGGTGACCCCTCTCCAAGAGGTGTTAGAGTAGAAAGATTGGATAAGCAGAAGGAGCCTTTTGTCAATGGTGGATTACCTTAATTTGTCCCACAATCTGTTTTTGGGAATTAAATTCAAAGTCAATGTAAAGTTATCAAAGGTTGCAAAAATGTGGGAAGTATTTTTCAGCTAAATTTAAATATTACCTTCATATGCAGTAGATTTAATGCAAAATGCAGCCACTTACTTCTGGACAAAGAGAACAAACCTTATTTGGAATTCCTTTACTTTATAAAGGCAAAAGTGAACACCATTTTTACATTTTACAAGGAGAAATTTATAGCAGAGCATTCCAAGCCTCCAAGGATTGCAGATCCCCAAAGCCACAATTTTGGAAAGCTGAAACTTTAAAAGCAACATTGGGCAACGGATTGCTGAACTCACAAACATCAAAAGGTTTCAAGACACCTCAAAGGGTCTCAATAAAGACAATGGTTTTTTAATTAACTACAATCTTTAATTGATAAGATATTTCAATCTGTATCTGCTGTTTCGTATGTGGTCTGTATCTGCATAGCCTAGCTAATCTTTCCCTCTCCTAACCTGATTTAAATCCTACCTTAGTCCAGCCACGCTAGGCATCTGATGAAGTGAGTTGCAGCTGACAAAAGTTTCTGTCTTTTAATAAAACGTACTATCAGACGAATGTATTTTGCCTAATTAGCATTATCTCTTTTTAGTTTACTCTAGGATGGTCCCATTTATTAAAATGCATTACAAATTTGAGTTCACATCCTCTGCCACATTAATATCTTCAATAACAATGAACTAAATAATTAAATCTATATTATTGAGGGGAGTAGAGGATCCAAGTACATGTGCCTCAGTGGTGGGTTTCAAAAATTGTTCGAACCTACTCTGTGGGTGTGGCCTCCTTTGTGGGAGTGGTTTGTCACCCATGTGACCGGATGGGAGTGGCTTGCCGCCAATGTGACCGGATATGAAGATGCCGACGACACTTGTCAGAACCACCTTAAATTACCTCACACACAGCACTGGCATGCATAAGAATAGGATGTAAACTTGTTTTTTAA